CTATCCGGTTTTATCTTACTTTTTATATAGACTCAATTTAACCAAATGAAAATTCAGCAGCTAGATAGATCGATATAGAGTGGTTTGTTTGATTTTTTCATACTGGTCCTGTTATTTTTGCTCGATTGCATGAGTATGTGTATTTGTGCCTGTTAACGTCTATATGCAATACGGTTCCTAAATCAGAGTTGTCAAAGTTTTAATCTCTGCTTCTGATACTCAAGACTCAATGACTCAAGAGAAAGCCTTCACTGAGACTGCGCATGTCCGTAAACAAGTATGGCTGAGCTAATGAGATATGAGCTTGTAAGTATGAAAATCAAATTACGAAACCATTTATCCTAACCTTTCAGTCAAGGGTCATTATCGTTTAAACCTCTAAGGAAAGGCAAGACTGGGGTTGCGTAATCTTACCTGTCTTGTTTTGTTGATGAGCTTACTCTAACATTTTGGAAGAATGTGAGTGAAATCAAATCCATCACAGAGCAGACAAATTGGATCGCCTTATTGTTGACGGCGGCTCAACCCCCTCTTTCTCTTTTAATATATCAATCAAGCATAACTAGTTTCTACTCAACTTCCTACCACCGTTCCTCACTCAGCTATGCCTTCAAAAAGATTTTCTTATCTCTATTAGGCAAAAGTTAACTGCAGATTCTACCTTGTCTCACCGTTTTTAATCAACAGCCTATCCTTGGTCGTAAGTATCGTCGTAAGTAAGTATCTCTATATGACACAGTTACGAGTTCTAGGGGTTTATGATGCATAGGTGAAAGTCAAGGTTAGCCGGGCCTCATTAAAATCATATTTAGGGTTGGACAGTTAATTAATCAAGCATGAATATACCATAGCAACCATTGGAAGTATTTTTTTCAACGATCCTACTATAGCTCTTAATATAGTTGAGACCTAGCTCGCTTTGAATGCCACAGGTGTTCTGAGATCCAGCTGGACGAGTGGTTTTGCAATGGAGTAGTAACATCGTTAGAATACTCTACCAGGTATCAGAGACGGTGAGGTGAGGCCAAGACTTCGGTACAGTCAAGCTTAGACAAAGTCGCATGTTAGGATGCAATACTGAATAAATTTTAATAGCAATATAAGACCTACCTATCTTATTGTGGGTAAAGTAAATTATCAATTCATGAGTCCCATTGAGCCACCAAGGCTAAATAGGAGCTTATTGATGACAAAATCTACAAACAGAGATTGACTAGAAGATATAAAGAAAAACTGGGTTTCAAAGAATTCTTTAAGTAAATTGTTGTGTTCCTAGGAAGGACATGGACTGCCTATAAAATATAAAACTGGAAAATTATACTCGGTTCCTGATTTTGCCTTCCTGTCAGCTTTTGAAAAAGTTGGGTGATCTACTCAAGACATAAAACATAAAAACAATGTATACAGAGAAACGAACACTTTCTTTAGAAGTTCCACCGAACACACTTCCTGATCGGGAAGTAACTGCATTGACTTTCAAGCATGTAGAGCAAGATTGAAGTAGCTAATAAATTCATGGGATGCCTCAGTAAGCTTGCGTATTTCGGTTTATAAAGTTACGATTAGGCTGCAGCCGGCCACCTATTTTATTGGTTTAGTATATTTTTGCTCTATTTCCGAAAGTATGGCATCTTGCTCTGATGATGTTTGTCACGGCTGTACAGTTGCATCGGGGTCGTAGGACGGCGAGCCAGGACTTTTTAGCACAATTCAACAGTCTTACCTACGCCCAACCATCTATCCGTTTCCGGTGAGACCACATGACCCATTCTTTCCAGCCAAGTTTCCTTTCGAAATGGAGAGTCATGCGACAAGAGATTTACAAGATCATTTGCTCTCAATTTCACCGGCAACAAGAAGACGGTCTTCCTATTGCAAGCCGTTCTGAAGTTACAGCCGATTGAAACTCCACGTTAGCAGATACCAGTTAGAAATCCTTTGGTTGATCTGTCTAATAGACTTCGTTTGCTTCTATTAACTTTATAGAGATTTGACGGAACAGGAAGTTGGGGATAACGTGAGCAGCATGGCGAATCAAGAAACAGCCATATTAAATAACACTTGATAATCTCTTTTGGCACAATTCGAGTATACACAGAAGTACAGATAAAATTATCATAATTTGGAAAAACATACAAATACATATAAGCATGGCTAAAGTAAACGAGAAATAAAAACGATTAAAGCTAGTAAAGCAAAGAAATGTTATGAATATAGCGTGATCAAATAATGTTCTACATCAAAAAGCGTGATTTGGGCACGCGTAACGCTGATCCAGATAGCCTTTTTGAGTGTTTTTTTGTTTAGCATGTTGCTGTCAGAACCTTTCCTCGGAAGCTCGCAATTCACTCAGCCCTTGTTGGTTGGACAAATTTGCATTGTAGGGTGGTGGGGACTCGAGGTGGCTGGGCAACGGGGCTGTTGCTAGCGCCATGGTCGAGTTGGGATGCAAATTGATCGAGTATAGTTGAATGGGAGGAAGAATTTGGTCAGTTTGCTTTGGGTCTGTTAGGCTTGTTGGGCCGGTTGTGCTAGTTGGGCAGGTTGGCGCGACTGTCTGGCGAGAGCATTTGGACAAAAATTTGCAGAAAAAGACAACTCCGAGGAAGCAGTTGAGTAGGGCCAGTCCCGCCGGAAGTGAAAC